CTGCTGCTGCTGCTGCTGCCGCTGTCCGTTATCACTATCGTTATCACCAATATCGTTGCCATTATCGGTTCTACGGCACAAATTCTCGGCACTTCTGCGTTGTCGAGCGCTTCTTCTCAGACCTCTGGCCATAATGCAATCGGTCGATTTCGATCGGTGGATGAGTGCAGCCGAAAACACACCAACATTCAGATTGTAACGTCTCGCACAGCAACGCTTCTCCCTGACCATGCTGCATCTGGATTGAATCTGCAGCAATTCGTCCACTCTTCTGATGATATCGCAATCCTTCGTCGAATGCGGCAGTGCCAGCGCACTTAACAGTCGTGATCGCAGATATTTGAACTGAAATTTTCACACCCGTTTTTATCCATTCGCCCCTCTGAACAGTAGTGCCAGGGTTATTTCCACTCAGCGGGTGACCCAAAACCGTCGGCGGCTTCCTGAGGACCTCAAACTACCCTCTGATCTGCCCAAATTACTTCTCGTAGGAGGTAATTTACCTCCTACGAGAATAATTCGCCCAAGTCTAGACTATCTGACAGATAGGGCCTACCTGACATTCTCTGTTCTCCATCTGCGCTAAACGTATTTTAAGTTGTTGTAACTGAATCCGTAGTGTTTTCGAGAGCACTGTATTGCAACTATCAACTGAAATTTTGAAAATTTTTTAAACGAAACGACGTAATTCATTCAGGATAACTGTATTTTCGTTCAAATCAAACATTGTAAAAGGCATCTAAATTATATAGAATGCTTCTTTTTTGAGGAATAAAATAAGATCAGCTGGATCGATCGGAACTCTTCAAAGCTTCAATTAGTTCCATGTTCCCGAAAGATACCACAAGGACAACGATCATTAACTAACGATCGTATACGTCCAAAAAGTTGCCAAAATGATGATCCATCTCACGGGCTTTTCTCTCCAGCTGACGTATAAGACGGCATTGCTCCTCTAAACGATGCTAAAATGTGAAAAAAGTATAATATTTTGAGAATTAAGACGACAATTATGAAAATTCTGAAAGACTCTTCTAAATTGAAGAGTTTTCAATAAGACGACAGCAAGGCAGCACAACCTTCATAATTCGTTTGTCAGCATCGTTGTTTTTGATTTGTTGTAGACTCAGTTTGGTAATCAATTGCCGATTAAGTTCGTCCAATTTCGACAGGTTCGTCTGAATCACTCTCCTCAGCGGATTTGCCTGAAAGCACCCCGATTAATTTTACTCCATTTCATTCTATAATCGTGATGTAACTTCACCATTCAAATCAAAACACTCTTCAAAAAATTCAAGTGTAAACCGTGATCACCTAAAATTTCAATGAAGTAAACCAACTCAAAATTCACATTTCCACATGCAAAATCATTTTCCAGTCATTTCACCCAAAAACTTCAAGTGAAGACTCAAAATTT